ATTTGGGCGGCGCAGACGCTCCAGGTCGGCGATACGATCGCGTGCGACAAGTGCGCCGTCGGCGTTGCTCGCGTCGCCCGCCGGACGTCCATCATGCTGCTCGTCTGTCTCATCAACGGCCTCACGCTCGCACTCGTTCTCGTCTCGGTCTACATTTCGCTGCGCAAGCGCTTCCCCAAGAGCTCTCTGTACGCCTCGGACGTTGCGCGGCTCGCAGCCGACCGCCAAGAGGTCGGACGCCTCGACCCGTACCACGACGCCTTCTCGACACGCCGGGCTGAGGCTTTCGGCCGGGCGTGTTCAAGTTGAAGCTGGCGTATTTGTGGCATATGCCACTTTTAAACGCTCAACCCGTCTACTCTGTATATTTTCGGCATGTATCCGAGGGCTTGCGTACGGCGCCAAGGCTTGTTGTATTGCTCGAGTGTCTTGCAGCCATCAACTTGCTCGTCTTGGCTCTCGGCAGCTCTTGCATGGCATGTTTAATTTCGCGTCAAGTTCGTGATTGACCGCACCTAGCAGAACCGTATGGTGTTATTTGTATGCGCTTTGTGAAGTGCGACCAAGAAACTTAACACGTCGCACTTGAACGAGAGAAATCACTTATTTAGAAAGTGGTCGGCGTCATGCGAACGAGCTGGCTAAAGACGCGCTGGACGACCACGTCGAGGGCCGGGAGCAGCGGGTTCGCCGCGAGGAGGTCCGACGACTGGTGCGCAATTTGCACGCGCAGCTTGATGAGCAGCTGGACGCTCTCTTCGGCCATCTCGGGGAAGGTCACGCTGAGCGACCCGACGCTCGGGAGCACACTCGCAAAGAAGCTAAGCACGTCGTTGCTAAGGACTTTCTCGCTCGTCGTCGCCCTATACACATGCATTGATCGCACCTTCTCGGTCATAAGCATCGTACCGATCCGTGTCGTAAATGAGCTTGAGCTTCCCGAGGAGGCTCTTGAGCAAGATCGAGGCCACGCCGTGGGGGTACTCCTTCGCCAAGACGCTGGCGAGCTCGCACCGAAACGCTAGCTTGGGCAAGTCGTTGCAGTTCAGCAGGTCCGGGAGCGACGCCAAGAGCTCTTCCATGGCCGGCACGTGGCGAACGAGGCGCGGAACGAGTGTCGGCGCGTAGCCCTAGCGCCATGGATAGGGTCGTCGTGGGAATCATCCTGTGCGATTGATTACCTGCGAGTGCACAGTGAGCAGCAAGAGCGGGTTCTGGGAAAACGTGGTTTGGAGCCACGACAGCACGA